AGTATGTATATTTCATCGTCCATCCGATCAATACGAAGAGCAGTGACAATGAAAGATAAACCTGTTACCCGCTGAACCTTCACCATATTGTAGGTGTCTTTTCTATGTCCTTGGATGCTCACTTTGATGTTCCAGGAATTTATCATAATTGAGGTCAGCAACTTGGTGAATGCACCATCAACTCTTGAGATGAACGAAGGTTAATACTGTGCGGTAGTTCATGAAGCGAGCCATACTGGTTTGCTGGCGTTTGAAGTGGTGTTCTGCGATACCACGGAGAATGAATGTTCCACCACGAACAGACCTTTCTGGCCGGAAGTTTATTTGTTCACTTTGGCTATGTGACATGCGTAGTCATCTGTTGACAGAACTCATTTTACTTTGTTTCGGAAGCTGAGACTGTATATGAAAAGCGGATCTCACATCACAACTTTACTAAGGTGATCCGAACTTTTCTGGTCGGCCGCTTCATTGAAGTGCGTTTTTGACGGTTTTGCCTCCAGGATCTGATAGAGCGGTGTGGGATTCTCTGATAGGATTTTTACTATTCCTTATTCTTCTCCGTGCTCACACTGGTGACTTGGTATCGCCTCTTTCTTCCCATGATCTCACCTTCCGGCTTTCCACTATTTTGCCGTTCAACATGGAGCGTCACTGGATGTTCGCCATCCTTCCATGGTAACCACTCTTGTGTAATTGAAAGTTGGAAAAATGGCTTCATTCCGGATTCCTTGAACAAATTAACCCTGACTGCGTTTTGCACCCAGAGCTCCGCTGGATCGCAATTCGCCGTCAGATTGCGTGATTTCTGACCCAGAATATCCACACTCAGAGTGAGAATCTGGGTTGTTTTTGTATGGCCTTCCAGGTGTTACGATGCTGCACCGAATCTTCGGCTACTTCGACAAAATAGTCCCACCAACTATTCTAATGGTATCCAGAGCCCCCGTGTACCGGAGAAATTTTCCGTACGTGAAAGGTAGGTGATTTCCAGGGCTAGTGAATCCTAACACCCGAGGGGCTCACCCATGAAATCACAACAGCGAGAAAGAAGGATATTTTAGTGTCTTCACAACAGAGCCGTACTGGATTACTAGGAGGCTCTGGGTTCAAATCACCTACTGCTAAAGATGCGAAAACGCAATACATCCTCACCATTCACCAGCGTAGCCAGACCACTCATTTCGATGAATAACTACATCAAACACGTCTTGAGAAACTCGGTTACTGGTCTAATGAGCTCGGTTGTAACCACCTCTACCGCACTATAAACATATGCCAAGTCAAGAAGTCTCCATTCCCCAGTACCCCATGTTATCAACTGCGTTTGGCAACACCTGTGTGCAGTCATTTAGGTCAAGGCGCAGGTATTTTTGGATGAACTGACTTCACACCCACAAGATCATGCTTCTGGAATTGCGTTCAATGAACACGCCACATACAATTCAAGGAAGTCCACTCGGGGCTGTGGAACGTTTTATGTACCTTGGAAGTCATATCAGTTCTGATTGTGTGTGAAGTCAATACGCGAATCTGCGGGGCTCTAGTCACGTTTGGCAATTTGGGACACCTATTGCGTCAAAGTATTATATCCTTGAACCTGAAGGGACGTGTTCATCAGGCGACAGTACGAGCTTTTTTGTTGTGTGGCTGTGAGACTTGGCCCGTTCAAGCGGCGGGACTGAGAGACCTTGAGGTTTTCGATATCCGTTGTCTCAAAACCATAGCTCGTGTAAGTTGGGGTGAGTGGATCCGTAACGAGGCAATGAAATAATCGATTGTTCACTTGTGCAACGAGTGTGCCAGCACCAGACGCTGCGTTGGCTGTCATTTATTGTGCATGTCGAACCTTCGTTTGCCGAAGAGAGTGTTATTTTCCGTGGCCAATTGGGAGTGGTGGAAGCAGAGAGGTGGCCAACCCTTCGCCTGGAAGAGGAGTGTGAGTGGAATTACAAATCGTATAATCGTCATCATCGACATCATGACGTCAGTGTTCAACACCGATGTTTCGCTGCCGTACGGTTGTACGAGGGCTGGGATACTGCCAGTGCGCCCACACCTAGACAGGAGGGCTATTAGGGTCCCCAACCAAAGCATTTGGCTCAAAAGCCTAATCGCGAGGCAGCGGTGTTTGGCGGGAAATGCAACAATGGAACAAGTCGCCACATGTTCCAACCCGTAACCTCGAGGGCCAGGAGACTGTGTTTGTCAGACCTCCTACCATTGACCAACCTGGAGTGAAAGACTCTGTAAGTGTCACGGGGACACTCCCTAGTATGGCTCAATGAATCGTTGAGATGCGCAAACCGTCACACCACGGTAAGGTCCAACCTCTTCGCCTCCATCGCCTAGATCGAAATCATCGATTTTCAACATCGCCCACGAAGCGTTTGGGTGGTGTAGATGCAACTCCCCTTCCAGGATCCCGTGATCATCACCGCGCCTGGTTGGAGACGCTACAAGATATGGCTGCTATAATTGATTTCAGTGGCGTTCCTGCTATTATAGCCTGTCTACACAAGCTACCGTTCCACTCCACTCGCGTTCACTTATGAACCCGATAAAATACTCTTGGTCCTTTCTATGCTTACTCTTTTAAGTGTGTTGGTAGTGTCAACATTCAAATTATTGGTAAATGTCCGTATCTTCCATGGTTGTTCTCGACTTTTGCCTACTTTTTTTTCAGATCCAAGATGCACTTTCAATAGTTTTTCCATGGCCCAATTGTGTCAGTAATCATGCCATCTGTGTACAAGGGTCCCAAGAGTGGTGAACCGTTCTTTGAACAGTTTGGTGAAACTCCACTCGTCACAGCCGTGTTCACCTACATTGGCTTTATGCTGCTCAACTTGCTCGGTCGTCTGCAAGACTTCCTGCGCTGGTGCTCCGTACTCCACTGTCCGATTGTTGTCGAACCTAAACGAACCCGGTCGTTTGTACCGCTCTATTCATCATACGAGGCGTTCTACACCCGAAATTTGTACAGACGTGTACAGGACTGTTGGAACCGCCCGATCTGTTCTTCCCCCGGAGTGCAGATGGTGGTTATGGATCGGAAGTCCAATGACAGTGGCTGGACATTGGAGTTAGTCTGATTGTTTGTTGGTCACTTCCATTTTTTCGAATGAAAACTCGCCGTTTCTATTTTCATAAATGCGACTGCCGAGTGGGAGGTAGTTCAGGAAATACGACACTGACCAATAGGCTTAATCCGTTACTTTGATTGTTCCTCTCCCAACTTTCGTTTGGTTACTGGAAGCTCATACCCGGTAAAGTAGCGGATTCCTATAACCTGTAATACATATATCGGTTTATACTAGTTACGCTATTGAGACTGTTTGAGGTAGCTCAGCGTTTAAGATGCGATACTACTGACTGGAGGGTCCGTGATTCGCCATCTCGCCATGGTAGCTACACATCGAAAAATTGCCGCACAAGAGCGATTACTATTTTTATTGCCTTAGTGAAACATAGTCCTGAAACACGGGTCTTTCTGTCCATGAATAATAGCGAGCCAGCTGATTGGGACTCGCCTCGCCGTGCAGCTACTCAGCACGCAATTTATCCGGACTGATTTACTCTTTCAACCATGTGCCGCATGTTTAGAATTTAAGTTCTTGTTTGAACATAGTTTCCTTATACACACGCTGTCAATTACTGTGCCTTACTGATCGTTCGCAACCCACTAGTGATGAGCGACACTCAAGCCGTGGACCTTCGGAATGGGAGTTAAGCATAGTTGAACGGCATGAGCAGGTGCGGAGACTAGAAAGCGAGTTGTTGAACAGAAAGTGTGCGTTTTAGGTCATTTCTTGAATGCTCTTGTATGTGCCTCCGAAAATGGATCTCTACGGCTTGTATAGCTTTGGAGACACAGGTAGCTAAATGGTTTGGCTTTCAGTGATGTTAATCTCAGACTATCTGATGTAAAAACAGGCTTCCGAAGACAGCTTCTGGTCTCATGCATATTGCTTCCATTTCACCTACCAGATTCACTGGGGCCAGGAAGCGTGTGCTCAATTTGGGCTCTTACAACTACTTGGGATTCGGGGACCCGACCGGACCGTCTATAGAGGCCAATGAGATGACCACTCGTCGTTATGGTGTCGGTGTGGCCAGTGCGCGACAAGAGACGGGCTCTTTGATTCTTCACAAAGAGTTGGAAACACTGGTCGCTGAGTTTGTCGGACAAGAGGCCGCTATTGTGTTCAGCATGGGATTTGCCACCAATTCGTTGAATATTCCCTGCTTGGTGGATAAGGTTAGTTTCTGTTTCAAACTTGCTACCTCGGTGGCCTTTTAACCTCCCCCTAGTCGCATATGTTCCCAACCTCCACTATGTTCCCTCCACGCGAACTTCACCTCAACTGCACTTTCTGGGATCCTTCGATTGGTGACTACGGTACATTCCTTTCTCGGGACAGTATGATAGATCTGCTGCGTTCATAAATTCTTCGAACACATCTTGTTGTGACGTTTTGTGACAAGGCATACATTAGACATTTGTTGTCTCTGGTTGATTTCACTTCAGCCGGAGGGAAACCTGGTAAACGGAACCTCTCTGAGCAACTTCCCTTTAATCACGAGAACAAGTGACTGACCATGCTCGTTGCAACCATGGTCAGCACTCGTGGGAGACCGAGCCTATGCGGTCAACAAAAGACCTGAGCGCTTGTTTGGTTTTAATGAACATAGTCATCAACTATTCGCTTCTTTGCTTTGGACGATCTATCTAAATTTGAAATCATACACGTTGGTTTGTCGCTGAGCTGAGTTTGTCGGACAAGAGGCCGCTATTGTGTTCAGCATGGGATTTGCCACCAATTCGTTGAATATTCCCTGCTTGGTGGATAAGGTTAGTTTCTGTTTCAAACTTGCTACCTCGGTGGCCTTTTAACCTCCCCCTAGTCGCATATGTTCCCAACCTCCACTATGTTCCCTCCACGCGAACTTCACCTCAACTGCACTTTCTGGGATCCTTCGATTGGTGACTACGGTACATTCCTTTCTCGGGACAGTATGATAGATCTGCTGCGTTCATAAATTCTTCGAACACATCTTGTTGTGACGTTTTGTGACAAGGCACACATTAGACATTTGTTGTCTCTGGTTGATTTCACTTCAGCCGGAGGGAAACCTGGTAAACGGAACCTCTCTGAGGAACTTCCCTCTAATCACGAGAACAAGTGACTGACCATGCTCGTTGCAACCATGGTCAGCACTCGTGGGAGACCGAGCCTATGCGGTCAACAAAAGACCTGAGCGCTTGTTTGGTTTTAATGAACATAGTCATCAACTATTCGCTTCTTTGCTTTGGACGATCTATCTAAATTTGAAATCATACACGTTGGTTTGTTCGCTGAGCTGGACAGTTTGATTGCAAGCATTTCATCACCAATCGAGGTGACATCGTCACTGCACTGTTGAAGATGCGTTGCTTGTTGTGCGTTGAGTGGTGTTGTGTGTATGTTAATATAGGTGCTGCTAGCCGGGACTGACCTTCGATCATGATTGATCGGTCGGGCGGCCCTGGTTCGTCGATGCCCACGTGGCCCCTGAACTCGGCATCTCCTGCCCTGGTACTCTGATCGATGCTGGAGTCACCTCAGTTCTTGACCCTTCCGAGTTCCGGCTTTTGACCTTTATTAATCTGACTCCAAAGCACTCCTCGTTTCTTAGTTTGTGAATCTGATATTCGCTTCTCCTTAAGTATTCTGGTTGAGATTTTGCTTCTTTGCACGTAGTGGTGCGTAAATTGTATTCAGTCTAATGCATCGGTTGATCGAGTCCGCCGTGGAGTACCATGCTTCCAGAAATTCCCTTCCGCTTCTCGTGTCTTCGTGTGCAAAAATTTGGCGAAAAAATTTCTCGAAACCCGACGAATTCGCTATTGGTTACGTGTGTTTTAGTTCTATTATTCGATTTGGATTTTCTCTAAAAATCGGACTGCCATTCCGATTGGCGCATCCGATATCCTCATCTTACTTTTCGACGCCAAAAAGCTTTGACATGTTGACCCATCCATGGTAAGGATTTGTTTAACACTCGTTTCCCCCAAACTCTGACGCATTGGTCTAGCTTGATCTCAACGGCTAGTCTACTACTATCTTCCTACCAACCAGAAGAGAGATGCAAACAGAACAGTCTGGAAAGATTATTTTAACCTTGGAGTATCAGCTGGTTACGTCACTTTTGAACAGGATTGCGGGGTCCGTGTGATATAATTTCTGTACAGTTAGAGTTGGTTCTCAGGACCATTTGAATAAGTCTGAAGACAAAAATGTAGGAAGTGGGCAGTCGGAAAAACGTACACCCGGTGAAGTGCAGTGGAAATAACGCAGGATAAACCATGGATAGCTAATGGTCTGAAACAAAGCTATTCGTCAGATCTGCTCAGTCCAAGGCATCAATAAGGAAAGGGGACACTTGTCGCGGAATGATGACAAAAGAAAAACATGCAGTAAAATGCAACGTCACGTGATCATGACCACGGTTTCCTCCGACGGGTAAAGTGTTGGTCTGTACCGCTACCACCTTTTGTGCGTACTCATTCATACTGAGCATCATACGCTGGCTGCGGGTCAAGGGATTTCGTATGGCACCAAGAGTTAGGCCAATGGGGAAACCTATATGGATTTGGGTCCAGCTCAGGGTCTATTTCTACCGGTTCGGTTCACGTGATGACCCCTCTTGAAGGTCCCTTGCACTTTCAGTCCGTCTGTGTGTGCTATGGTAGTTGTGTAAGGAAGAGGGATTCTGTGAACTTTGGTGGGGTTGGGATGCCTACCCTCTGTTTTTGCTAATGAATTGACAACCACGCACGGTCACGTGTCAACTCGGCTTATCTAAGGCCGCTCGCTTTCCATACGCTCGCCAGTTCCACAACCTCGATTGTATTCATGCTGTGAGTTCTGGTAATTCTCAGGACCTCGGCTATCAGCCGCTGTGGTGTGAATCACAGTCCCCACCTTAAAACTCCTATATTCTCCAGACCTATTCTATGTCCCGTGTCTAACGCATGTACCGCCATCGCTGAATCTTTGACCAGCGTTTGGTATTCTTCCGCATTCCTTGGTGGTTTGTTTATCCTCTTTTTACCCTTACCAATTCCGGTGTGTAATTCCCTGGCGGCTTATCATATGTAAACCTTAGTGAAATCGTTGCCGTTAATTTTATACACAGTCCCCAGTCCTCTTAACCGGCAGGAGGTCTTTCAATTGCACCAAAACTAAGCGTAGCGCTTTTCCCTTCTGGAAGGCTATTCGAGCAGTCTTCGAATAACCTCCGATGTTCCTGCTTTATATGGAATGACTGCTTTGCCAATCCATTCCTTACTGGGTCGTGATACCGGAGCCGATATCCTTCTTAGATGACGCCTAACCAAACTCAGTGGGTATCCTATTTCTTGGAGTATGTAAAAGTCCATAAGCCTTGTAAGGCTGCCTTAGTTCTGTTGGGGATCACCACTACTGTGCGTTTCACTTAGATGTATGGAGACTCGAACCCTCGGTTTCTTGTTTAGTAAGGTCTACAAACAATGACTAATTTCCGGTTGGACAGGATATAGCATAACTATTCTGAATCTTTGCAGCTAGCATCATATGGTTTGGTGTGATCCTAACTGACGACATCTTGCACGAACTATGTGATTTTTCTCCTTGTTGAGTATAGTACTAACGCATTATGGGGCATAGTCCTTAACTTGCACCTGGATATAAATAAATGGCCAGAAATATGGAGTAGCAAGCCATGCAGTTATGCAAACACTTACTCGTCATTTCCTGAAGCATCAGGCGTAGAGCACCTGCGTGACACACACACACACACAGAAGCGGGTAAAATTGTAATCGAACGGACCTATGGCACACCAATGAACTCAAGTCAAGAGAAGAACCATGTTATCATTCTTATGTTATAAGGAACCGGCTTCATTTTTCTCAACCAGAGCCAATATCGTTCTCAATTGACCCCAAGTCAAACTTACTTGGCGTCCTATTTCTTGAAGTCTTTTGGCAGTGTCGATGTGAGCTGCTGTTCGGTCGACCTCCTCCGTGCACAGCGCTCTGACTCGACTAAACATCGACGAGATAACGCTGGCGTGTACGGTCTTTGGGTGTGCTGATGAGTAGTTTAAGACGGTTCCTGTGTCTGTTGGGTTTTGGTAGATAGTAGTTTTTAATTTTCCACCACTCTTCTGTGTTATGCAGTCCAGGAAGGGTGGACTCTGTCTCTCTGCTAAACTTGATGTGTGAACCATTGAGGTAGTCGTGAAAGCTGTTCATGTTATCACGTTTGATTACAACAAAAGTGTCGTCAACATAACGCGAAAAGTGAAACGTTGTCAACAAAAAAAATCTACCGATTGTTACCAAACTTTTCCGGAAACTTATATGACCCTTGAATTATTAGCCATTGCTGTCTAATCGTGACACAGTCAGGTGACCTTCCTTTCATTCGTGGAGATACCCAATCGTACACGTTTCTCACTAGCGTCACAAATTTGTGATCTTTACGACGTGCCCGGCATCTAACGGATATACGAAGACACCTCATCATACAGCCTACGTGTCTGGCTCCGCAAAATACCACACTTGATTTAATAAAAAATGGAGGTACCCGGTCTTTTCTGGTAGCACCGAAACGTGACTAGATTGTTTGACACACACGAATTGGCTGGTGCCGTGTGCCGATTCAGCGCTGATAAAAATGGATCGGCAGCTTTCGATGGTTTTTGCAAAACGGTTGGGATAATATTACTGGCTCTACTATCATTTATTTTTGAAGAGCATGGTCACAAACATAAAAAGTGAGTGCAAGCGATGAATGCGAAAGAGTAACAGGAGAATATGGGAGAAAAGAGAGAAATGTCTCATTCGAAATCATGCCAAGGACAGTGCCAGTCTGATGAGGTGAATCCCAAAGTATGTAAAGATTTTGGTATGGGAACACGCGTCTAAGGACCAACAACCAAAGAAAGGACAAACAATGGTGAATGCTCTTCAAGGCGCAGTGTGCGCTAGCACAGTCAAGACTCGCACATCAGGCACAAAGTGACCGTCATACTGGGTCTGGTGTGAGATTAAATGGCAAAAATATACCTTCAACGCCATGTACCACGCATAAAAGTGTCATAAGTACGCAGGGAGCCCACAATGGCAAGCAAACACAAGTCACTGACTGCGACCTTAGGAAGTCCCAGTCCAATAACAGCCTTAGCGGATTGAGGAAAGCAGATCCCTCGATAAGAGATGATCATCGGTTGATGAACCGGTCGCTGGGTACTCATTTTCCAGCATACTAGAAAGTCATCCGTGGCCATCCCGTGTAACCTGCGCAGCACAGTTTCGAGAGGAGTCTGCACGAAATTTAAAAGCATACAAAAACAAGGTCCTATGGGCTGGTTGGTTGCAACACCGTGTGTCCACCGACTGTGGAATGTACCTCGCTATGCGCAAAACAGTTGTGGCCTGATTGTTACACGCATAGTTTCTCCTGTACTATTTCCACCGCATTTCATTGGTGCGTTTTGACGGATGGTAAATCGTGATCGTCAAGTCTAACTATCTCATCCTAACCAGGTAACCTTGATCGACTTGATCTCATGTCGGCTCCTGGTTTGGTCACACTGGCCCTGTAATTTGATTCAAACGTTACGTGACCTATTGAACAGCATGCCGACCGTACGACTTGATCGAAATTTCCGTGTATAAGACAACTTTGATTGCCTGTGAACTTTGCTGTTGACGCACCTCGGTCGACGATCAGAAACCTGGTTCCCAACCCAACTAGAATCACATCCACTCTCTCCGTCTCGGGCAGTTAGGATACAAGTCCCGGGAGTCCTATTCATTCACGTTGCGAGTGTAGGGCCAAATTCTGTTTTTTTTTCATTGATCCAGTGAATCTCAAGAAGGTCGTGGGCTGTCGAAGAGTTTTCAGCAACCTTGTGAGTAGTCTCCTTTGTGAAATTATACTACGATATCTCGAATATCGTACACGAGGTGGCCTTTGTGCAGCACAGTCAGGTGTAGATTATTATAAACGAGAGATTCAACTGAGTCTCTCGTGAAAACCAAATTGATTTTCAACTGAGTGTATTTGTCGAAATCAGTCCAATTTGGTTTCAAGTAGAACATCAGGTTGACGGAAACTTGGCGACTTCGCCTATCTGATGAGCCCCAAGAAGGGCGAAACTGGGCTGTCGAAGAGTTTTCAGCAACCTTGTGAGTAGTATCCTTTATAAACATACCTACTATCCTTGTTATATGAAGCTCTTGATTGGCGAATAAGACAGTGCTTTTAAGTATCCTAGACTGGTTAAGCTTGTGGATGATAACAGAGGTCTGGTAGTCAGTCAGCCTCACCTTTTTTCTCAGTGACTGTGTGGTTGTTTTGTACACAAGAGCCTTGGTTGCACACAACACCTAATCAATACATTCTCTCACTGTTCACCACGGTTTGCACGGTTTCCTCTTGTTGCCTTCAAGGATTGCTGTGTAGTGAGCGACGAGCTGAACCATACTAGCCTCGTTCTGGGCTGTCGCCTGAGTGGTGCAACCATTCGACGCTTCAAACACAACGATATGATCGACCTGGAACGTGTGCTCGAAGAGACTGTAGTCTACGGTCGTCCACGCACCCATCGACCCTACAAAAAGATTCTAATTGTGGTTGAGGGTATATACAGGTGGGTCAATGCTTTTTGCTGTTCGCCACGTCCCACGTTTTCGTTATTTACCTAAAAAACGGGGTTACTGAATGTGGTCGGCTGTTTCTACATATTCTCGGAATTCGTCGCAGTGAGCGACGAGCTGAACCATACTAGCCTCGTTCTGGGCTGTCGCCTGAGTGGTGCAACCATTCGACGCTTCAAACACAACGATATGATCGACCTGGAACGTGTGCTCGAAGAGACTGTAGTCTACGGTCGTCCACGCACCCATCGACCCTACAAAAAGATTCTCATTGTGGTTGAGGGTATATACAGGTGGGTCAATGTTTTTTGCTGTTCGCCACGTCCCACTTTTTCGTTATTTACCTAAAAAACGGGGTTACTGAATGTGGTCGGCTGTTTCTACAAATTCTCGGAATTCGTCGCAGATATAAGTCACTTCAGTTCACAATCGCTATGTGTCCAAGTGTGCTTAGTAACCGAATCACGGCAAGAACTGATGAGTTTTACTCATGACGAAAGACGTACTAGGTTGCTTTTCACGTTATTGAGCACGTTCCATTTCTACAATCGATGTTGCGTGGAACGTCAGATGATCATACGGGTTCAGAACGAAAACGAAGGTCCTTGTAAGTTTTCACTGTGTCTTACTCCGGGGTCAGCTGATTTTTAGGTTATCTGCCATTTCTATCTTTTTGATGGAACCGTTTAGTGCTCAGGCAAATATGGGATTCCCCCTAGTGAAGCTACTCAAATGTATTGCCACTTGGGAGGATCGCGTCAGCGGGACAGTCATTAAGACCGCCGGGACTCTTGAATGAACTGTACAAAGAGGAAGTTCCCCTACCGGTCATACGTAGGCAAAGGACACAGTGTACAGTCACCAGACCTGATTCGGGTGTGCTGTGGTTGAGATTCGCAGTTTGAAAGCGGAGAATTCGAAATACTATATTCTCACCATCATCATTATCCGTTGTAAGAACCGCGTACTTGTCGTACAGTGGTTGTAGCTGCCAGAGTTTCGTCCACCGATGATTTGGAAAGGTGGGTAGGTAGCTTCGCATTGGAGGCGAGAGCTGATAAACTGGTACGTAAATAGACGTCTGTCAGTAGACTTTCAAGTGGGGGGTTGGGAAGGGAGCTGTGTTGAAAGCAATAGCATGGATGCACGAACCCTACTGAGAGCGCGAATGGGCGATGTCTGACAATGTCTTCAACTAACAGTGTGACTCGTCTCGAGGTCCCCATACAGGGAGACGGCAGTGACCAGCGCAGCTGAGTTTTCTCGTAATGGCTTTCACACTTCGCTGCCAAGTCATTGTTTGACCGCCTCTGTCAATGACGGAACCGACCCGAGACCACTATCATACTTGCCTCAGCGATTTGGATGAACGGCTGAGTTAAAAGAAGGCATGGTAAGTAGGCGTAGAAACTCTTTTCGCAATTGATCAGCTGACATTAACCAGAACCAGCCCTATTGTCATGCGTTGGTGTGAATATTTCTAGAAGCACTTTTCTTACCTGCCTGCTTTTAACATTTCAAGCCTTAGTTGCAACACCCCTTTCGCGTGTTTGCTGCACCTGTGTACATGTACTCGCCACTCGGTCGATCAATAATCCAGGTGTCCTAGCTATTAAGGTCGTGTTTACCCGTCCTTGATGACTACAAAAAATCCTGAACAGATACGTGGAACTCTGGAAGTAACGGTCTTGAGGTTTTTTATGAATCCAATACGTTTTGACCGACTGGAGCCGCTTTTTACACGTGGTTTGTACGATTGGACCACTAAAACTGACGAATGGATCCCAGTTATTAGCTCTGGGCCTGCTCTAGGCACACTGTAGATTCACAAATCTGTTAGTTTTAGGCAGGCTTCGTCGCATGCAAGTCGGCGAATCCATAGTGTGGCAGTTAGAAAGCGCGTTTTCGGTTGTGCAACGGGTGCTTCCATTGAAGAATGTGTCCAGCACCAGAAGCTGCGTTGGTTGGGACATGTGTCGCATATGCCGAACTATCGTTTGCCGAAGAGAGTGCCGTTTCCCATGCCCATTTCAGAGTGACGTTAGCAGAGAGGTGGCCAACCCTTGACTTGGCAGAGGAATATGAAGGAGATCACGAAACGCTTGGGTGCTGTCGGTGCTACTCGCCTTCCAGGATGGGGACCACGTGATCCTCACTGTGTCTGTTTGGAGACACTACAAAATATGGCTGCCAACCGATGTCAATGAGGCCAAGATATTTTGTTAGGAAGTGTGATTTCTCGCTATTTAGCTACTTCTATATAGCCTGTTCTCAACCAAAGTTTTTAAAACATTTGTTCCCATTTCGGCATTTTATTCCTGATTTTGATTTGATCTTTTGTACACTGGAATCAGTGCGGGCTAGGTGTGGCAAGGTGTACCAAGTGGTTAGAGCGCAAATTTACTGACCAGAACTTCCGTGGTTCGAACCCGACCTCTGCCTCTCGACTTCCCCCGTCTAGGCTTGGGCAACCTGGCAGTATCCCAGCCCTCGTGCCTGGCAGCTAGGTACCGAAAGGGTGTTACAGATGAATGACTATCAGTGCGGTCTGGGAGTCATCCAATCTAATTATTGTATATTGGATGAATAGTTGCCTACTACTGAGGGTCACTCATCTTTCGACCCGATCAACTATTGCCCAACGCCTATAGCCTACTGATAAATGTTTTTGACTACCAGGGCTGAATGGACAATCAACAGCCTACTACTGAGGGTCACTCATCTTTCGACCCGATCAACTATTGCCCAACGCCTATAGCTTACTGATAAATGTTTTTGACTACCAGGGCTGAATGGAGTTGCAATCAACAGTCCGGTCACGAACAGATTGGACCCTACCCCGGTGTGACGGTTTGTCCACCTCCATAATGCGGTCTGTATGTATGACACTCACACAACCTCTCATATCAAGCTGGTTAACGGACAGAGTCTCCTGGTACTCCCGATTTGGGGTTGGAACTGGGCGAATTACTCCTTGAAAACGTAGGCTGCCCTGACGCTTTTACACCAAGCGTCGCTGTCTTGCGGTCAGGATTTTGAGCCAAACGCTTTTGCTGAGGACCCTAGTCGTCCCTGTGTCTGGGTGTGGACTCGCTGCCCACGTAGAACCAATCTCATGCCACATAGGCCCTCGCGTGATCCCATCAGCCGGGTTGCCTTACTTGCTGTATACAACGGGGCGGGTAAACGACAGCAGGTTACTGCTGACGCCTCCATTCTTTATCTTCCACTCATTCGTTCCTCTTCTCTTCCCCCGTTGCTAGTGATATCATCGTAGGCCCATGCTTAAAGCCCATTACCATTGGCTACCATCATCACTTCAAAATCACTCTCAGAACACCGAAAATCAGTTCATCTGGCAGCCTTCAAAGTTCTGAAACAAGCTGCACAACAGATTAGTCTTGCGTGTACGCTGGACTCGCTTTCCATGAATGTATGCTGTCTCTCTGAAACGAGGATTCCTGACACAAATGCGGTTGTTTCACTGACCTCTTCATTTGTTTCCACCCCCTTCTGAGGGTACACCTCGGGTGATTGAGAAGTCTCTGCAGCCGGGTCGGATCGGGTTGGCGTTGTTCTAATCCACGGAGCTGAAAGATCTCTGGTTAGATGGTTCAATCATCCAGCTGTAGCACCCTTCTGGTGCCTAGCTGCCATGCCACACGAAGGAGGCATGAGGGCTGGGATACTGCCAGGTTGACCAAGCCTAGACAGGGGAAGTCGAGAGGCAGAGGTCGGGTTCGAACCACGGACCTTCCGGTCAGTAAATTCGCCCTCTAAACACTTAAGCCATATCTTGGATGGTTACCCGTTGATGGTGTCTATAAGAGGATCCCATGTACGCGCCGATAATCACGGCATTTGCTTACGCCGCAACAGACTGTAGCTCTGACATACTCAAAGACGGTTTTTCGACGGACTAAGATCTCCGATGTTATTGTGGTGCAGCAAGGTAAACTTAGTCTACTTGAGGCTTAATTGGGTGGTTGTCACACCGATTGTTTCTACGCAGTAACAACTCCCGAAACAACGGAAGCCTCTTGCCCCCCACACTCGAGCCAGCTTCCAACACAGAGCTGACTGGGCCATGTGTCACGCGTGCCGACACGAGCGTTGTTTCCCAAGAGGAAACCTAGAGGTGGACAGAATTTGACATGGCAAAATGGAATAAAGAGTGTTGCGAAAAGTTTGGCTGATGTTGATACTGTTCCAGGATGAGGTTCATGTGACCCTGTCTGTGTTTAGCCGGAGTCAGTGGACGACATGGCGTCCATCCAAATCGTTTGGCTTATTAGCGAAACACACTCATTTGCTAACAAATTTGATTCTGCGAGAGACTCACCTGGAACCCAGCTGAATCCCTCGTTTGTGATGTTTCCACGCGACTGAAAGTGCTGCAACAGGTCGCCGCATGTTTCAGTTGCTACGATATTCGTAATGCACTACTCATAAGGTTGCTGAAAACCCCTCGACAGCCCATGACCGGTTTCGTCCTTCTTGGAGTTGGTTCATCAGGTAGGCGCAGTCCCCGAGTTTCCGTCAACCTTCTTTTCTGCTTGAAACCAAATTGCACGAAGTTAGCGAAATACACTCATTTGCAAACAAATTTGGTTCTTCGAGAGACTCACCTGGAACCTAGCTGAATCTTTTGTTCATGTTTTGCTTATTGTAGGTGTAGGCACCTCGAATGTCCTAGGTCCCCCACGCTACTCGATTTCTTTCTTTTCATTGTAAGACTTTATTAAAATAACTTGACATGCTTGTGTCGCAATGAAGCATCAGTGTTCTCATCTGGTGTTCCGATCAATGATAATGAAGCATCAGTGTTCTCATCTGGTGTTTCTGTCAGTAACGATGATTGCCAGTTCCAACAATTTGAGCATGTCTATTGACCTCAAAAGCTAACTTTAGATTACATACTGTGCAAGTCCGGAACCTCAAGGGTCACGCCTACCAGATGAGCCCCATACGGAACGAAACCGAGGGTGGGCTGTCCGTGGGTTTTGAGCGATCGTCCAATACTTGTTAGTGCAGCCTGTATGCTGTGGCAGAATATCACCACATGACCTACTAGGAAGAGTCATGCTGAATCTCCACTCGTGACAGTGGGTCCCAGTGACCTCTCTTCAAAGGTCTCTCTCTCGGCATACACGAACCCCTTCCCTTGCAGCGTAACTAGATATAATCTCAATGGGGAGTCTTCATCACCTCCGTTTTCTCACTCCTCTTGTTCTCCATTTTTTCCCGATTGAGAGATGCACACCTCGCGTGATCACAATGGAGGACCCCCCCCCCCCCCCCCCAAAAAAAAACAACCAAACGCTCCACAGGGTTGTAAACCAACGTTTCCCCTAACATGCGTGGAATATCGTCTTCATTGTTCTCACAAAGAGCACCTTGGCTTCGTCCGAGCTGTTCCGAAGTATTTGTGTGTGTTTCGCACCGAGTTTTCATTCCACATCTGATCCAGTAGACAAACCGCATCCAACACACCCACCAGCTGCTCCGGTGGCCCTTCCCCTCCCGTCATAGAAGTACCCTCAGTGGAGCCCGAAACGTTCCTTCAACCGGGTCTCTCTCTCTCAGGTGGGGCTGATCAAAGAGAACCACACCTCACGTTACGGCAGTGAAGCATTGAACACTGATGTCATGCTGTCGATGATGATGATGACACCTCACGTTTTGTTCGGTGGAGTGCAGTTCCCACTTGCATCTGGGTGTTTTATGTGCACATGTGACAGATGTTTCGCTTGGTTTGAAGTGAATGAACCAGCTGTTCAATAACATTACGAATTCGGCACTGAGATACACCAACACAACGCGAAAACCCCGTGTCTTGAATCTTTATGTCCCTACAGATGAATTGGAATAAGAACCACAAAATTTTTTATGTACCCATGACATAACAGGAACAATGAAACCAATTGGGAATCCGGTAAGTTTCGATCATCCCCCAAAGTGTAGTGCGGCGTGCCCTAGCGAACCGTGCTGTGTGCCGGTCTAGCCAGGCAGACCATTTAGGTCCATCCCAGAATATTATCAGCTGACTCTGACCACGCCGTCAGTTTAACGCGCTAACCGACTAATGAGTCTGGATCGATAGCCTATGGCATTTCCATTGTGATGTAAGACAGCCGTTCGTGGGACCATCTTGGGTTCCCGACGGAGAAGAGCTGTTTCCCTCACGATGCCAGACAGTTGTGTTCGCAGGCCACAGAAGCCATTTTAAACTCTGGGCAAGAATATCCTTCTTGGATGTCATCTTGGAGTGTGACACGCTGGGACCGGACCTTTCGGTCCGAAGGTCGGGTCTGTGGATGTGTGCCCAGGGGAGACGGATGGGAACAAAAGCCCTAAACTCTGAGTAAGCCTCCACATTAACAATAAATCGCCCCCTTTCTCCGACCAGGTCAATTTTACTCGGTCCAAAAGGGTTGGTTCCAGTTTTGAGAAAATAGACGAAGATTATGTTTTGACTGGGGCGAGATGGCCCAAGTGGTTAGAGCGCGAATTTACTGACCGGAAGGTCCGTGGTTCGAATCCGACCTCCGCCACTCGAATTCCCCTGTCTAGGCTTGGGCAACCTGGCAGTATCCCAGCCCTCGTGCTTCCTTCGGGTGGAATTGCAGCCGGGCACCAAAAGGGTGTTGCAGCTGAAAGAGTTAGAGAAATCACTTCGCGTAATGGTCCCAGTAATTGAGCCTTACAGTCACAGCAGCTAGGCACCGGAAGGGTGCTACAGCTGAACGCATGTTTTGACTGCTGTGTCTCAAATCTAGTTCCTTCCTGGCGATGCTCTATGAAATCCCCCGATGTCAGGTCGTGTTGACTCCACCGAGTTGATGGACGTCTGGCGAAAACGAGACAGTTTGGCACAATAGTCTCATCTACCTGATCAAAGTTCATGATCTGTTTTGTTTGAATTGTTTTACATTGCCGAACTAGGCTATGAGTTCACAATCGGCACTGCACCCCTATAAGCCTGACAGTCCACACGTACTGACGGGTATCGAGTGAATGCTTGCACGCTACTGCTGCGTGGTCCAAGATGGGGAACTTACCTTTTCCCCAAGTCAATGTAGCGTCCAACATTCTTGTTCATCGATTCCCCTCCCTAACCCCGATATCCTTGAAAACTGACGAAAAAAATTTGGGCTCTAAATTTAACTGTAGAATGATTGCTCTCTCTCCCTCTCTCGGTGCTTAGTTGCTATCTCACTATGTTATACAGTGGTTCTCTGAGTAGAGTTGTCTCCCATACATGGACCGGTTAATTTGCCCCCGTCCCACGGATTTAACCATCGGATTAATCGATGGGACGTCAAGTCTCTAAAAAGGGTCGGAAAAGCTTTTTTTCGCAATTTTTATCCTACTATTACCCCTTAACAAGGACCACTCTTTTTGAGGAAACCAGCAAATCGGAACGCTGTTCTACGACTTTCAAATTTCAAGGTTTGCCCCAATGTCTACCTGAAGAATCATAGTTTATGTGTCAAGGGTCGAGTTTACCATGCTGCGGTGCGCTCCATATTACTATATGGATCAGAAACCTGGCCGCTGCGCGCCGAGGACGTCAATAGACTTTCAGTGTCTTCGGAGCATCGCCCGAATCTGGTGGGAACACCGGATCAGCAATTCTGAAGTACGTCGAATGGTATTCGGGAGAAATAACTCACCCTCGATAGATGAACTGATCACACTGCACAGGTTGCGCTGGCTTGGCCACGTGCTGCGTATGCCAGTCGACCGACTTCCTCGAAGGGCTCTTTTCGCACAACCACGTGAAGGGTGTAAGAGGGCCAGGGGCGGTCAAACAATGACTTGGCAGCGAAGTATGAAAGCCATTACCAGCAAACTCAGCTGCGCTGCTCACTGCCGTCTTCCTGGATGGGGACCCCGAGACGGGCCATACCAATGGCTAGAGACATTGTCAGACATGACCCAGTCGCGCCCTCAATGGCACTCGCGCATCCAAGCTATTGCCTTCAATGCATAGCTCCTTTTCCAACCCCGCCCCACTTGACAGTCCACCGACAGTGCTGGATTTGTGTGCCAATTTATCATCTCCCTCCTGCAACGCGCAGCTACCTACCCCTCCCCCGAATTATCGGTGAACGAAACTGTGGCAGCTACAACCACTATACGACGGTCATGCAATGTGGCATCAGACATTTCGGTTGCTCAGGGATGAAACAAGGATTGATAAACTCGACGAGGCTTCGTCGTACACTGGTATAAATTTGTGAGCAGTTAGAAAATTTTCAAAGAGAAATCAGGACTTTTTATTTGCAGCCTCCTGAGGATATCTTCGTAGTTCATGGGCCTCTCAGTTCACTCAACCTTCCGTCCGAGCCTCGTGATACCACACCAATTTAGTTTGTTCCTGCTCGCTCTCCTGCTCCAGCATAAACACACCAGATGTCAAATAAACTCTAGCCCCAAGATGAATACAGCCGTGATATTTTAGCAATACTGATGGTAATTCAGACTAGCTTCATACAGTTTGGAGCTCCGACTGTGCATCTGATCGGAATACATGACTGCGAGGTGAAAGCTCTTGGGTCAGGTTAAACCACAGAGATTTGGGCTTACTTCCTTAATGTAGAAGCGTCTTGATAAAGCTGAGGTCCTCTAGTCGAAATGGAAGTAACAGTCGATCGAATTTTAGACCAGGAGAGAATCCGGACACCATGTGCTTCAATGATTGGGCAGCCTCCCACGCTCATTTCACACTGTGTACACCTTAACCGGCCGGTTTTTCATCTACAAACAGAAGTACAGTCGTTCCTACCGAAGATTGTTTCAGTACCCAGTTGAGCAGCGAATCAGTTTGCACACACAGGATTCGGTTGGTCCCCTTAATGAGGACCCCTTCCTCAGAAGTGACCACTTTGGTCAAGCCACATAGTTTGGTGGAAGACCACTGTATTTGAGGAGGTTTTCCATTCATCGCTTGAGACGGACACTTCACATCAGGTGGGCGGAAAGGTACAACTGGGGTTTCATCACTAACCTGTTGACGAAAAACGTGCGTCCAATAGACCGGCCACAGCTTCTTGGGCATATCAAAACGCGTTTACTTCAGTGTACACAGGGACTTTAGGCTCCGAACAGTGGTAACAATTACAAGATACTTCTCCGTCACATCTCACCAATTTTAACTTATCGTTTCCTACAGTCTGGAAACCCGATTTATCCTTGGATCGATATTTTTTTGAGTCCTCATGTTCCTAGGGCAAGCCGCTTGTCCCTTATATTACTTTACCTGTCGTGTTCCGCGCTTTTTTCCACATTTCGTATGTGAAGATTGAAATTTTCCGATTGCTTCATGCATCACCTGTCTTGGTTACCAGATCCAGAGTTGAATTTGGGTTACCATAGCAGCAACGACACTGGTTGCCGCGGCAACCGAACAACCGTTGTTAATTCACATGTAATGCAGCTGATCTGCGGACACGATCGCCAGTGTCGCTTCAATTGCCCCGTCTTCACCGTAAGTTGACGGTGTAGTTCTGATTCTGCCGGTCGATGCACCTCTGTTCCAATGACAACGCCGAGCACTTAATTGCACACACACACACACACCTCAGTAGCAGAATTCAGGTCAATCAACTTCAACTCGAATTCGGAGCGACTTTTGCTTTGAGGTCAATATTGTGCCGTTTAAGATGAACTGGGTCCAATCGATACTACACTTCTCAGGTCATGCTGTTCGATCAGATGAAAGCGCACAAGTAGACCAATGTGCGCACCTCGCAACAACGATTCTGTAGTGTGGCAAACGAGCAAGATTTGTGATTACTTTCCAAACGGGTGTTACGCCCTTGATCAAGGGCTCGAAGCCCTTTCCGTTGGCACTGAACCTCCGCCCGATCAGCTGACGCCGTCAAATCGTTCATCTGTAGCACCCTTTCGGTGCCATACCAACGAACGGAGGCACGAGGGTTGGGATACTATACCAGGTTGCCCATACCTAGGCAGGAGCAGTCGGGGTGCTCAGATTGGTGGTGACCGCTGCTGCTGAAGCGCCGAACGTGAAGTGTAGGATGTGCATTGACTACATATAAGATGCCCTTTGTATTGTACATCAGACCCTATTTTAAACATGGTTGTCAGTTTCTAGCAAATCTTTTTATATGCAGCTATTCTCTGGAGAGCCTTTTTCGAACCTCTTCGAACTCCTATGTAGAGTAATTCCCTAAAACTCCTGCCGTCGAAGAAAGACTACTCCCCTGAACAGGGAGTCGAGGTCTTCGAACTCCTATGTAGAGTAATTCCCTAAAACCCCTGCCGTCGAAGAAAGACTACTCCCCTGAACAGGGGGTCGAGGTAGCTTAGTGGTTAGGGCGCGAATTTACTGACCGGAAAGTCCGTGGTCCAAACTCGACCTCTGTCTCTCGACTTCCTCTGTCTAGGCTTGGGCAACCTGGCAGTATCCCAGCCCTCGTGCTTCCTTCGGGTGGCATGGCAGCTAGGTACCGAAACGGTGCTACAGCTGAACGATCCCCTTGAATTTGTTATCCTCAGCCACAGTGTAGTGTGCAACTTATTGAGTACCCCTTTTTCAAGATAGTTTCTTGAGGTGGTTGCTCGATTTTCTTGACCCTTTGTCCAATATCTTGATCTTTAAGTTTTGTTGCAGTTTGTACCGATTTTACGGCACTCCCACTGATATAGTCGGAACAGTGACATGCATTTTCAGCACCTGCAGTGGGTAGCAATCTCCTCAGATAGACCATCACTTGGACGGGTGCCTAGCCTCTTATCCGGGAGATTGTACACTCGATCCTGGCCTCTCCCGGCTGTCAAATTCCTTTCAGCAACCTTATGAGTGGTGTTCCGCCAAGGAGCAATGCTGTGCTATATCGAATGTCGTCTCAACTGAAAAATGGGGCCTTTATGCGGCATATTCAGCTGAGGAATATCGTAAACGCGTGGTTCAGTTTGGATTAATTTGATTCTCTGTTAGGCGGAATCTCGACCAAAACTACTTTGCCACTCGCGGTTAGGCGCTTCTACGGCCTAGAAACCTAACTAGCATGCGACTGGCCAGAAGATCGGTCGGCCTTCCGGTCCGGCACCAACGCTAGCTCTGATTGGTCGAGTGTATTGACCCAACAGCCAATCATGATCCAGTATCCGTCGCTTGCCCGTACCACGCCCAGAAGACGCCAGATTTTTCAGAATGTTGTCGCCGCACACACGCGCTGTACATGTGTTTTTGGTCTGGTTAGGGCGTCTTGTACATGTGTACCTTTTGATGAGATCGCTGGGTCCAGGTCAAGAACGAAGTTGATGCGTTGCCGTTATTACAGTCTCCCGTTAAAACTAAGTTTGAAAATAAGAAACCCTAAATTCCATGATAAGCCAATTCCGATCAGCTGTCAACCTTTTGCTTGTTCTGCCCACTCATAGTGGAATGTAATACATAATTGGGAGGTCAGGTTTCAATTCGTAATCGTGCCGATGATGAACCGTCCGGTTTCCACTTTGGATTAAACTGGCCAGGATACGTGTTAGCTGAATGCATCTTCACGAGGCAACATTTGGAGAGTTATTTGACTCAGTGTTTTTTTGAAGACACTGTGATCGTTCACATCGCTAATCGTTAACAGGAGTAGGTCAATAGTACAGTATCTCATGACATTTTTTCAACTGGATTAAACTTTCGCTGTGTCGTCTGTAAGGTACAGTTGGATCTTAGTATTCGTTACTTAATCGTCTCAGGACCAGCGCCATTTACCTGGCTTACTGGCTACATGGTTGAGCTTCCTTCAGTCGATTCAGCTCACACTTTGAAGTGTTCCTTTTGTTAATCACGGTTGAGCTCGCGCTTCATGGGACATCTCTTTGTAAGGGAAACTCAGTCGTCAAGCCCAAATATGGTGAATGCGAACCGGAGGTAATCAGTGAAGATAAACTTGAGTTTTACTCGTCCTGGCTCATCCTGGCCAAACAGAATCCAATAGGATGCACAAGTACATATTCCAAAAAAACCCTGGGTGGTCCTTGGCGCTTATGGTCATACACATACATCAAGATTTTCCATCAATTCACCATACTTCTTTCTACTGGACTGATAGTTATGTCGCGCTCAAGTACGTATGATTTCCAGTTCAATACTCTCCAACTTTCCATCTTCTGTGTTCATCTATTTCCATTTGATTTGCTTCACCACCGCTCCCTCAGCTAGTTTGTCTGATGTTTGGCGTGTGCACCCTTCATTGCCATGCCTTTTACCCTCAAGGATGCAGCGTTTTAGGTTTGTGACTACCAACTTATTGATTTCCTTAAGCGGGGTCTCTCCTCCCCCCCCCCTATACAGCATGGAAGGGAGCATAGTCCACCTACCCGAAGTGATTGCTCTTAAGAAAAAGTACAAAGCCTACTTATATGTGGATGAGGCGCATAGCATTGGTGCACTCGGGCCGAAAGGTCGTGGTGTGGCTGACTACTTTGGTGTTGACCCGAAGGAAATTGACGTATCGATGGGGACGTTTACGAAAAGTTTCGGTTCATCCGGAGGATACTTGGCTGGGTCGCGCCGACTGATTGACTATTTGCGCTCCTGTTCGCACAGTGCCGTTTACGGAGGCAGTATGTCCGCGCCAGTCACGCAGCAAGTGATCACCACTTTACGCGTACTGATGGGTCGGGAAGTTCCCGGGGAAGGGCGTCACAGGTATGTTCGTGTATTTTCACCTCCCAGAAAGCTTATCTGTTTCCAGGTCGTCAACGTCTTATTTGTAGGATACTCATTCTTTTTTTTCGAATGAGAACCCAAGCACACATTACAAACGAAGGCAGATGTCCTTGAGTGGGACTCACATCCGTGAGCGCCTTATCAGCTGTACCACTGTCTCACCCGGCGTCTTGGCTCTTTTTGGTTGGGATCGGTTCGTGACCTAACGCAGTCGTCTCCTTCTTGAAGATATATCTATCTAGCGACCTGTGAAGATCTGGTCTGTTGCTATTCAGAGTGAAGTCATGCTAACTGTTCACCTCTGGGAATAGCACCCGAGGGGAAGGGGTTCGGACGAAACTTCTGCGAGTAGGCTTACCGTAGATACCTTAGGCGTCTTGGCTCTTTTTGGTTGGGATCGGTTCGTGACCTAACGCAGTCGTCTCCTTCTTGAAGATATATCTATCTAGCGACCTGTGAAGATCTGGTCTGTTGCTACTCAGAGTGAAGTCATGCAGACTGTTCACCTCTGGTAATAGCACCCGAGGGGAAGGGGTTCGGACGAAACTTCTGCGAGTAGTCTTACCGTTGAAAGATACCTTAAGGAGTGGTTGACGAATAACTGAAGGCTAGTTTTCTCAGCTATTAGATGCAAGAGTTGCGGAACAATGCACAGTACAACGGCGCAGCGAATGACTTAAGACGAGAATGAACTGGCGACGGGAAAGGAGCAGAGCTTTACCCCTATTGATGTTTTGCCTTGATGTGTGCTTTTGAACTGTTGTTTCTTCACTGGAGTCTCCCAGCCGAAACATCCTCACCATTACCCGGACTAGCTTCTCGCGATATAGGTTTCTTAGGTACTGATGGCAGATGTGAGACACGCAGCAAGCACTTTAACTCTCAGCACATTTCAAAGAAGGGTTTACATTCCGAGAAATACACTCATTTGCAAATCAATTTGGTTTTCACGAGAGATTCAACTGAATCTCTCGTTTATGATATTCTACAACTGAAAATATACTGCGATATCTCGAATATCGTTCCAACTGGATCATGAGGCGGCCTGTGTGCATCACATTCAGTTGTGGAATGTCATGAACGAAAGATTTAGTTGAGTCTCTCGTGAAAACCAAATTGATTTGCAAATGAGTGTATTTGTCGAAA